TCAGAATACAATTAACTGACAACAATTGGTTTGTTTGTCAGCTGTAGTATACTTAGAGTCATGTTTAATGAACTGCTCAAAACTCCATCGCGCACAGTACGTTCAGGGCATAGTTTTGTTAACGCTCATGTTACCACATAGCATTATGTCTGTCTTTGTGTGCATACACAGGGAACCACGTGCTATTGTTTGAAAGAAGGCTATAACACTACGAAGTCGATGCTATCCGAGAACACGTGTCCCGGAAACTTGGAGGAAGGGTGTGGCAACATCCAGGGGGTGTCAGTATACAAGATAGGTACGTCTACGTTAATTTCATCCTTACATACCATAAAATATTTCTATGACACTGATTAATTTTACTTGATGAGTGGATCGATGCCTGACAGGAACAACGTATTTGGGTTATTATTTATTCAGCCTTGCTGCCATTTAACTACATAAGAGACGAATTTTAGATCTGCTTAAATGTGAGGCTATAAAATTTCTTTTAGCAGTATTTTGCTAACTATTTATTCATCCTTGTTTTGAAAATTTCCCTTCCCACTGAGCGAACCATTTCTACGATGTATTAGAATTAATCTGTATGAAGCTAATTGGACTCTTTAGAAAACTCAGCCAATACACCTATAAGCTATATTACAGCCATACGGTCGTTGTAGGGCTCTGGTGGTATTGTGGCACAAGGCACAGGGCTGTTTTGGACTATGTTGTTGTTCATAGTTACCACACTTCAGTTACACGGTCACAAAAGGCGAGTGGTCAGAGCCTACAAGGTTAAATTCGATTATCGTTAAAATAGTCGTTCTCTCAGTTTTAGTAGTATCATAGTAGCATGGTAAATGGTACATCTTGAAAGTGTAGATCATTCAGGTAATCTTTGAATGTTTGAACTGATATTATGTCTTTATTGTTTTTAGAAAACATGATATTTAATCAAGAGGAAGACACGTACTGTGCTTATGCGGATGACACGGACCTTTCCACCCATACCAGAACTTATGACGATTGCAAAAACTTCAAGGATTGTTACGCCTGCTTTACTTTATCTGGCAAGTTGCATCACGTTTCATCCAAAATAACATAAATCTCCCTTGATATTTATATCTAATTTTAAGAAACTTTAAGTTTAGTCCTAAAGATCATTTTCCTAATTACGACCACCATTAATTCCTTACAATGTATTACAATTACCACTTTCATGAAGACACGGTATGTTTTACAAATAACACTACACTGAATACAGGATACTATATACGACTAACTCTAGCATGAAGACATAACATGACTCTAAAACCTAACGATACAACAATTTCTCTTCTGCACAAGATTCCAAAACTCAGTAAATTTCATGCAAAAAGAAGAGATGCATATAGACACATTCACGGTCAATTGCCAGTCTAGGGAGATAACCTGTAATCGTTGTTATAATCAAGGACGGACTTACCTCATATTCAGGAAAAGGAAATGGGACAGATAAAATAAATACAATGTGGACAGTGAAAAAAACCCTGAGAATGCGTTTACATTTTTGAACTCCCCAAAATATTATCAAAGAAATTCTATTCTCGAAAACATTCGATTTTCCATATTTGTACCCCACTGTTATTCACAAAAATATAGGGATGGAAATGGAAATGGGTTGTAGAAAGTGTTGTCAACAACCATACGTGCCACAGTGTTGACCATGTTTTCTGTGAACGCACCTTTAACAGATTTTCGTTCATTTTATAGGTGCAACTACAAGGATATCTTGTAGACCTCAGAAGTCATGGCGTGCTGCCAGGAAGGCATGTGACTTGGTTAAACTGAATACATCTGCCTGGACCAGTCTTCTTGGAAGCAGCAGTAACACCACCACATACTGGATCGGTTTGTACAAATATCTGCACAGGAGATGGATAAACGGTAAGTAGGGCTATTTTACCATTGATATATATCTGTTTACAGCACAGATTATATGAATACATACAAAACTTAGAGGTGTTAACATTGATATTTTAAAATAATATTGACAAAAAAGGGGTGGTTAATTAAATTTCTGGAAGTCAAATTTTCAGAAGTCAAAATGCATTCGTGGACCTTAATTGTGATAATTACAGGAATTGCAAGATTCCAACAGCTATCACAGTTTCGTGTCTATGTTATGGAAAACGATGACTTCGTCAATGGGTTTCCGAGTTTCGAATGTGTGTACAATAATCTCTATGCGTTTGCACCATTCTTTAGTCAGGTCCACTTGGAAATTGGTTTGGGAACCATTGTTGTATGTTCTTCGCTTTATATCTAACATATTGTCTCAGCTATATTCGCAAATTTGATCCATAGTTGTCTTATGCAGGTTAGGACAATACAACGACATACTTGAGAACTGCAAAAATTATCAGGTTCATTTATGTCCCCTTTTATATGTTACATGGCTCGGTCAATACTGACTGAGTTGCATTATCATCAAAATAATTTCAACAAGGTTTTCAGCATGGTTAATGTACATGTGAAGATCAGAATTAGATTTGGTCTTCAGCAACCGATGCTTGTCATAAGAGGCGAGTTACGAAATCAGGTGGTCAGACTCAATGATCTGGTTGATACATGACATCGTAGCTCATAATGTTAGTCACTAGATTGTCTAGTCCAGACTCGGTTGTCATGTAGATGGAATCATTTCTGGATTAGTTTTCTTTTAATGCGTTAGTCCTGACAAATGGTAATTGCCTCCATGTATATCTATTTAAAGCGAAGACTAAATGTCTCGACAGAATGGTGAATGATGACGTACCTGAAAGTTGAAGAACATTTCGTTTTAAAAGAGAAAATCAAGAGTACGATACTATACATTTTCACCTGTGACACTGACTTTACAGAAAGTACAATTTACCTGAAAGGCTATGTTATAACATTTGTGTATATCCTGTTCAATGTTTTACTTAGGGGAGACGGCTTTGAAATACAACGGGCGCCGCGGTGCTTTGTCTTCACACACTATAGCTAGGTGTCTCAGTGTGTATAAGCAGAGGAATGGAGGAAAGCGTTTATACTGGAGGCCATGTTCAGAAAACAGAACATTCCTTTGTGAAGATGGTATGGTTCTTAATTCACTTCCTCACTTCAGTCATCCTGGCGCTGAAACCAGACAAGCATACAGTAGCTTGTGTCTTCCAGAAACCAGTTGAACTAATCTGTACCATTTTTTAAATTGCAACTGAAATAAGTTTATTTCCAGACCTTTAAATAGCTATTCTCAATCATATATCTAACAAATGTAAAACAGATCTTAGGCATCACAAGTCGCTGAGCATAGTCGCAAAATGTTTGCAAAATATCATGATCGGACACACGATTCACCCTGATTTGTATACTCGGTTTGTCAACACCGTTATCGTGCACTTTGGCTTTATGCTAACATGTACAATCACATCTTAAGCTGATACTCATTGTATTTCTGAAATAGTGACAAGAGCAACGTAAACCGCATCTCACTCACCCTTTACATATACCGTTATACGAGCCGTGACCAAGTTGTCTCAGGCATCACAAGTCGCTGAGCAGAGTCGCAACCCTTAGCCTTTGCAACATCTTATATCGGAAATAAGATTCACCCCGATTTGTATACTCGGTTTGTCTGCCGAGGTGACGTTAAATATTAACTCACTTACTCACTACTCGGTTTGTCAACACCATTTTCCCACTTTACATATACCGTTATATGAGCTTGTAATGTCCAGACATGGACATATAATTAAATGTAATTCTGTTTTTTCTAGCAAATTATAACATTCAAATGCTACAAACACATGATATTATAGCGTGTCTATTTGTGTTCATGAAGTACATGCATCTTACATTAAAGGTCATTTTTTACTCTCTGTTCGTGACATCCAAAGAAATGTATAGTGAAGGTAAAAGAAATTTGGTAGGTCAATAAGAAACAGGTGCTTATTACTTTTCGTATGAATGAAGCGTGTGGCATGGGACCCAATGTATTTCCCTTCACAGGAAGTGATGAGCATCGATGATATTGACATTCTTACATTCTTCTAGCTGGAGACATAGGACTTACTGTTTAAATGTACTTTATTTGGCACATGGTGCATGGTGGTATGTAATGATATCTAGGCTCCATTCAAATGTTTTTGTCACGTTTGAAGTTACTTGGTGTCCCTGGCCATAATTTAACTGTCTAGTATTGGTTGTTGAATTGGGTTAAATGCTGGTTTGAACAATATTGAAACTCTATCAGGGGGTCCGAGTTTAGTTAAGGGGAAAAGCCGGCAATTCACTATATGGTAAACCCTGCATATTATTTCATACCTCATTGTCAACATCCTGGGAAATCAGTTGTTTGCTTGTTCTTTTTACAGTGTAAAGGGAAACTGTGAAAATGTCATGCTGGCTTAGAAATACACTTTTACCGTAGACGAATGATGGAGATATAGGTCTCATATCTCATCAACACATCACTCCGTAACTCAGGATAAATTAATTCTCAGTATCTCTATATGGTTGAGAAAGACCAATATGATTATATGAAGCTCACTCTTCTCACTATCGATTATTTTATTTCTGTCATAACTTATTGACTCACTCTTAACTGTAATGTTGTGTTTGCGTATTATTTAAAATAAGGGGACGAAGGGATGGCGTAACGGTTGTTTCTTCAAATGTTGGGGTTTGATCCTTCCTTTGAAGATGCGCGTTAGAATTGGTCTTCAGCAACTCATGCATGTCGAAAGAGGCGACTAAAGGGATCGGGTGGTCAGGCTCGCTGAGATGGTTAACTCATGTTATCGTATCCAAACTCCGTAGATCGATGCTCATGATGTTGACCACTGGATTGTCTTTTCCACGCTCGATTATTTACAGAACGCCGCTATATGGTTGGAGTATTGCTGAGTGCGGCGTTAAACAAGCAAAAATAGGGTTCGATTCTGGTTAAAAAACACGAATGTCAGTTTTATCCCTCTGTCGTAATATATCTGTAATAATGTTAACAGCAACTTTCAGGATGCGTTGCTACAACTGACAGCATCAACTTTACCGAGGTTGAGACACCAACAGCAGGAAGGAAAGATGCGAGGAAACCGTCGATCAATCCTGCGGCCGGTACGTATCAAACAAAGACATTCATGCATACGTTTTATCTGAATTGACACATGCCCACAATTGATGTTCCAAGTTAAACTTTGACAACAATTCTGATCTAAGAGGCCTACGAAATGTCATAACAATCAGCGACAAGTAGGGGTATTTGTATGTAACATTTACATCATAGATCGTGCCAGTGTCACTTCAGTGGTCCTGATGTAAAACGTGCTATCCCTTCTTGTATTATTTTACATTTTAATCATTCTTGTAATTACTTGCAAGCATATATTTGATTTGATGCTAATATAATGTATATTTGGTATGTACATTTATAACTGTTTTCCTGAAGGAGGCTTCATTGGACTAGGTGTTGGATGTTTGCTGCTTGTTCTGACAGTCCTCATTGTGGTGTGTCTCTTGAGCAGGTACGAAGATACTTTATATCGATAACATATACTTAATCAGTATAATATCCAGTACTAAAACAAAAACCGGAAGATAGGTTTTTAGTCTATGAAATATTATTATGAACTAAAGTGATTCCAAACTACATTCGTTTCAAACGAAGTGCTTGCATATGATCTTTTGTTCCCATCAAATGACATCAGAATGACTCCACTGTAACACATTGTTAGTAAAGGAAACAAGAATACCAGAATATATTGTATTTCCTCCAGACTGAATTTCATGTTGACACATCGGGTTTCAGGCACAAGAAACTGTGTTTTGAAAAAAGAGATGTGAATCAGCCAATACACTTCACTTCAGCCGCCGAAAACATCACCTATGGTTTAGCCTCTCACGCACACACAGAGAGTGAAGCATATGCTGTCATCTCACTTCCTGACACAACAGATGCAACATCGGCGTCATCAACGGTTCCAACGGCGATAGTCCGACCCAGTGACAACATCAACATCAACAACGCTCAGGTTAATGATGAGAATGAGTACAACGTGCTGTCAACATCCAACAACTCCAAGGTGCCCGTGTCACATGGGAATCCTTACAATCATCTATCAGGACTTGACGGAGGTAACAAGTACAAGGGAGACTACGACACAGCAAACTTTGTTTCACAGACAGAAGAAGTGACCACAGGGCTGAAGAACACTGTCACACACCCACGACTGCCGGACGTATCGAATGGTCAGGAGGAGGAGGAGCATTACAATGTGCTCGGTCATCACGACAACGAAGTTGATGCTGCCGCTGGGGTATATGACCACGTTGCTACGGACGAGGGGGACTATGACACTGCAGGGTGGGGAAAGAATGTCAGCGAGGTGGATGATTCTTACAGTCATATACAGAGGACAACTAAACCATGTAAAGAAGATACGTATGATGTCGCAAGTCAAGGGCAGCCGGAACGATGTGCCGACGACACCTACAACCATGACGTTGTGGTTGAAGACGGTAGAGGAGACACAACCGAGTACTACAACACAATGCGTCTTCACCGACACAACGGGAATCTTGACGGACATGTAGAAGGTGATGCTGAGTCTGACAGAAGGGATCAGGAAAACGTCTACAGTCTTGCCAAGGACATCTCTGATGCCTGAATGTATTCCGAGGGCGTATACACATTGTTGCATTATGTTTACCTTTCTTTACTAACAATCAGTTCATTTTGGTGCCATCTCTGTTCGTACAACCTATTATGTGTAATTATGTTCCTGTTTCTTTCTGATGTTCTTGTTCCTGGCTCTGCATCATGTTATGTTATGGTATGTTGTTCATACCTCATGGTTTGGTCATGAGATTTGTCAATTAATGGATGATTTAATATGGATACGCATCACATGAATGTTCTTCTGTACATTTCTACTTACATTTCATTACATTCAATATATTTCATATTTGTGTATAAATAAACGTATGCTTGATTTCTGTTTTTTAAATTAATTTTATACATTTGATTGAATATATTTTCTTCCTAATACTTGCAGGGCAAGATTTCCTTCTACGTTTCATTGTATTCTCTATATTACATTTTCCAAATGTACATATATGTCTTTATAAAAAGGAATAATGTCATGTTTTGTATCTTTTTACTTTTAGAAAGAAGGATTGTGTTCATGGTCATTTTCTGAATACCATAATGAATTTCTAACACGTTCATGAACTACTGGACATCTTTGTGTATTGTTTCAGTTTATCTCAGCAGCTGTGGCCAAGTCCGCTGGACAGGGGAGAGCCATACCCTGCACACGGTGATCTGATTTGGTGGTGGTTCATGGGAATCTGGCAGCAAGTCAGTACATTGACCAAATTCTTCACTTCTTCCATTATCAACCGACAGATGGGTTTATTTCGACCTAACAACACTACACCACAAACAACGAACTCTCTGTTGACTTCCTTCATGATTGTTTGTAATGGGGTTTTGTATGCCATGTTGAAACAAATCCCTGCTCTTCACGTGACCACACGCCCGCTGTCGAACGCGCTTTGGTGTTAACGTTCATTTCTACGTTGGTACACACGCAGTTAGAGAACGAATCGTGATTCGTCACCGATCCACACTCGCCACCAGTTCCCTAGCGTCCATGCCTGAACGGCATTGCTCCATCGAATACGTTGTCGTCGATGCAAACATCCCAATACAGGGACAAAGGCCGACCTACCGAAGCCACGTCCTGCAGTTTCGGTTCCATTAGCTTGTGGATGGCGCAGAGGAAAGATCCATTATGGTGCAGGGGCGATGATTTTTGGCCTACCACTTCTCGGGTTGGTTGGTTGATGTTTAACGCCGCTCTCAGCAATATTCCCGTTTATATTCTGCAATATATGGCGGTGGTCTGTAAATAAATCGAGACTGGATCAGACAATCCAGTAATCAACAGCATGAATATTAGTCTACACAATTAGGATACAATGACATATGTCAACCAGGTCAGCGAGCCTGACCACTCGATCCCGTTAGTTGCTCTTACGACAAGCATGTGTTACTGAAGACCAATTCTAACCCGGATCTCCACGGGTTCCCACTTCTGGTGAGACTGTTGCTGGTATACTGTTCCTATGTGTCTCGACATTTCAAAAACAAACAACACATGTAATCCAAAAGTCCTGTCAGCTTTGTTTTCATTACCATGACATTATCGCGCAAGAAATTGCTACTTCAGATACAAAAGTTCAAAAATAGTCCAGTTGTACGGAATTTTCTTTTAATAAACAAAACAAATATTTTCAATATTTTCTATACCTTTCTTTTTAAAAAGCGTTTTATGTTTTTAATTTTTTATTCAGCCATGTTTGTAGCACCAGGGGTTGAATGCTATCATAAAAACACATTGGCGTGATTTAGCCAGCAGTTCCCGTTACCGGATGAACACCACCTACATTAACAATTCATTAAATATACTCTACTTCCTTGTTGCTGAGTCCCTCACAAAGCAACTACACAGTCTCTGTAATACACTGGTGACCAGTTAAATCAGTGACTGATATCGTAGGTCTGCCGATACATTTATAGTATGTGGCAGTATGTAAGCAGTAGACTTGTACTTATTTGGATAACATTGGATCATGTTGGTAAGGGTGAGTAAGTATGATGTCAACAAGAGAAATGTGCCTCACACATTGAACTCATGTGGGGAATCGAAAGCGGGTCGTCAGCGTGACGAGCTAACGCTTTAGCCCCAAGGCGAACCACACCTCCAACACACTGACACAGCAAATGTTAAATAGAAAGTTTAAAACAAAAATCAAAACACTCTCGAAAGTACATGTAAGAGAATTCTTCATTTATTATAATCATTTCTGCATATCAAATTCTCTTGGTCAGTTTTCGGAAGGAATCGATATTGATTTTTGTATGCATCCATACATGGTGTTCATTACACAAAGTGACACGCTACGAGGATCCATTATGTAACCAGGCCCCTTGTCTTTAGCACTTCAACTTCACTTTAGGGTCAACGTGTTGAGCAGAGAAGATGGAAGGACAAACAGAACTGGAAGTGTGAGGCTGGTGACATGGTTTGTTGTCCATTGTGTGCAGTTGATCCACATAGACAGTGAATAGATAGGTACGTCGACGTTTATGGTACTTTAAAACCTAAAGGGACACTGCGTTCCGGAAATTGGCAGTCCTGGCAATGTTCACCCATGTCTTTTAAATACTACCTGTGTCCTGACTCACATTATATTACATGAATAATTCTTACAGTAAGTGGTGATTACTCGTACAGTCAGTATCTATGGTTTACACAAGAAAGAGATTTAAATGTCTACCGCTGAATACTCTTAAAGTCAATGTCTATGGTTTACACAAGAAATAGATTTAAAGGTCTACCGCTGAATACTCTTAAAGTCAGTGTCTATGGTTTAATCAAGAAAGGGCCGTATAGAGAAAGGGGGGTGCCGGGGTAGGGGATGAATCTTATAGTCATAATCAGAATGTTGACCCACATGTATGAGGGAGATCCATCTAACCGTATATAATTACTCCACAAACAACGCCTCCTTTACACAAGGAACTGATTAAAACGTCCAGGTCTATAGAGAAAAAAGCACCACAATTTGGAACATAGTTCCACTTTGATTTGTTATTAGGTACTCATTTACAAGTTGATGATGTTTTATGAATTCGCCATCGTTTCACGGTGTAAATGTCTACAATATTACATATGTAGTTCGATAGTTACCACACTGACTACTGACGGACAACCGAAGGTGCAGGATAGGCTCATATGTTATGCAGACACCTGGCATAACCACTGTTTGATAGTGATCCATAAACACCATGTCACTATATTCTCTATATCAGTGACTCATCCTTCAGCACAGAACCTCGGTCTTCCGGTGCAACCTTCACTGTAAGGAGGACTGCTCGGAGTTTGGTCTCAGTGTATGTATGTAACTGGGATAGCTCTGTCAACAACACAATTCCGCTGAGGCTGTAAGTCCGGATTTCTTGCTGTAGTTTGTGTATACAAGCCTGAAATAATGTATATAAATATATAGTTCTCCATCAAAATACCTACTTCATCACATTCATTTCATTGCACATTGTTTTTAATGATTAACATTTGCAGTACTACCCCTGAACATATAAATAACTCAGAACAAATGGACATCACAAAATTAATGGTTCAGTTACATACTTAGAAGTGCAATTATGGAACACATATGGCATCTTCAAAACAACAATGAACTATCAGCGTGTCTTACCACCTATGGGACAACTTGTATCAAACTGGCCACATGTTGTGAGGCACCAACGTGCACCAACCAAGGACCTAAAATATGTATGCCTTAATCAGCATGGAAAGTAAACGCACAATCTGTTTGGACTCAAACATTACTCTGAATCAATTGTAAGTGAAATTATTGACACCAACAACTTCTAACCATAAGTCAAAGTATAACTTCAACAAATGCATAAATTCAGTTACAATAATTACTGAATTAAC